ATGCTGCTTGGCCTGCTGTGTTCATCCAGCCCTGCACCTTGTTGTCTCGGATTCTCCAGCATCTGCAGTTCCTACTATCTCTATTTGCAATTCCAGAGTGTGTTTCACAACCACAATGTCTCCAAGTAGAAATAGACCAGAGTATATGGAAAGACTTGATTATGGTGCATAAATAGAGGACAAGACTATAGTAGTAATGGACTGACACAAATAGAATGGAGCAAGTGCAAAAATACCAGTGTAATAATGGCTCTGCACAAGGAGAGGCTAGCTTATTGCAGTTTACAGATGAGTGGGTAATAATGCAGTCACATACTCCAGTACCATTGGAAGAGTCTGAATTTCATTATAGGAGCATGGCTGGACAGGCTGCAATAACAAGGATGCACTGCTTTCATATAGGAAGCTGGTATAATCATGCAGGAACACAAGGGAGACAATAATAGCCTGACATTAAAATTTGGAGAAAATAATAATAATTATGAAAGAACATTGGAAAAAATGATACAGTAGGACAAGAATGCAATAAACTTGCAAAGAAAAGAAAGATTACATGTTAGTGCATCAGAGAGTGGAGGCTGCAGTAGTGGCCCAGAATAGTTAGATGTTAAGATTAGAATAATACCATAATTTTGTTTTATTCCTTCATCTCATGTGATATTCACTCTCAAACAATTGGCATTTAATACGATTCCAACTTGCACTGGTGAAGGTGGTGAACCAGCCACCTTGTTGAACCATTGCAGACCATGTGGTGTACACAGGTCAACAGTGCTGTTAGATGGGGAGTTTGAGTATTGATACATGGTACTAGCATTATGTGCTGATGATGAAGGGAGTGAAAGTTTGAGGTGGTGATTGCGATCTTCAATAACCAGGCTGCTTTGTCCTGGATGGTCTCAGACTTCATTTGTGGAAAGGCTGTGGGGGGACTAAAAGACAATCCACTCAGCAAAGAATACCCAGACTGTGACATGCTCTTGCAGCTGTCGAAGTTAAGTAGTTAATTTGGTTACATTCATAGAACTATGGGAATTATGCATTTGGAATAGGAGACAAGAATAACTAAATGATGCCAGTCAGAATAAGACACTAACAAAGGAAGCTGGTGTGATAGTGCAACATTAGACGGAGATTGGAGTAATGGTGCAGTAACATGGGGTCTCTCACCTAATAGCACAGTCAGTGAGGGAGTGGATTTGGATTGTAATAACACTGATTTGGTTGTACATTCAGAAATCTAAAGTACTAACTCAAGTAACACGGCAGAGATAGATTTGCATTTGTTTGGTGCTTTTCACAACCAGGGGCCATGGTTAGGGGTGTCACAGTGGTTAGCACTACTGCCTCACAGCACCAGGGACCTGGGTTCAATTCCAGCCATGGGTGACTGTCTGCGTGGATTTTGCATGTTCTCCCCGTGTCTGTGTGGGTTTCTGTGGATTGCTCCGGTGTCCTCCCACAGTCCAAAGTTGTGCAAGTTAGTTGGATTGGCCATGCTAAATTTCCTCGTAGTGTGCAGAAATGTGTACGCTATGTGGATTAACTATGGGAAATGTTACAGGGATGAGGTGGTTCTGAGTGGTAGGCTCTTCAGGCTGTTGATGCAGACCCGATAGACCAAATGGCCTCTGTTTGCACAGTAGGGATTCTCTGATTCTATGACATTTCCAGAATAAGGGGTCATGGTCTCAGGATATCCACTAGGCCATTGTGGACTGAGCTGACAGATTTTTCCACTCCAAGGCGGTCAACCTGTGAAATTTTCCACCACAGAAAGCTGTGGAGGCCAAGTTACTGAAAATATTCAAGAAAGAAATAGATAGTTTTCTAGAGCAAGAGGTTTGGGGTGAGAGTGGGAGAATGATGTTGAGACAGGATCAGTCATGGTCATGTTGCATGTTGGAGTGGGCTCAATGAGTCAAATGCCCTAGTGTTCCTGCTGTCTTCTGCATTTCAAAGCTTCTTACAGTTTGAAATGTAATCACTATTGTAATGTAGGAAACACAGCAGTTAATTTGTGTACAGCAAGCTCCTACAAGCAGCAATTTGGATAATAACCAGATTTTATTATGATGTTGTTTGAGGGATAAATATTGTTTAGGATATGACAGAGAATTTGTCTGCGCTTCTTTCAGAATATTAAGACACAGCTTTCAGTTTAAGGTCTCATCTGAAAAATGGCAGCTTTTGCATCAGGGTGGCAACTTTAACCTTTTTATGCAAGTCGTGCAGAGAGATTTGAACCTTGCAGTTCAGAGGAGAGAGCTAGGGTTGATACCTAGGAGTATTAACACTGAGCAATAATGTAAGAGGAGGCATTAAGAGTAATAACCTAATAATGTGAAATGAGACTGGAATATTATGAAAACGTAAATGCAGAGCAATAACACAGTAAAATGAAGAAGAACTGAAAACTTGCATTTATATAGCTCCAGTTACAACCATAGACATCCCAAAGTTCTTTCCACTTTGGGGGTTGAGAGGTAAACAATGCTTAATGGTTTTTAAGATTTTTAATTCACATTATTGCACAATTGGCATATTTTAGTAGAAAATGATTTCTCAGGATTGCTTAGGGATAATTGGTCAGCAGCAGTTGAATAGTATGGAAATTATTACAAATAAGCAGGATAGTCTGTCAGTTGTCTGTTCTGGTTATATTACATACTACTGCTCAAAATACACAGGAAGATGGCAGATTCACACAATCAAAGTCCACAAATTGCCTAGGAAAATTAATTAATGGTGTGAAAATCATAGAAAAATTATGCCCCTAATAGAATGGAAGGAAATATTGAGGAGTAGCTTCTCCAGTCACAGGTTGGTTCTTTCACGTGTTTGTTGCTAATGGGTTCAATAAAAGAGGGAGAGACTCAACCTGTAAATAGAGGAGCAGAAGATAGGGTAAATAAGTGAAACTGGTAGGGAGTCACCAAGAAGCATTTTGCCAAGATCAGAACCAGCATGAAAAAGATGAGAAAGGTTACACAAAACAGGTTCTGAGGAGAAAGAAAAAGGGCTGTAAAAGAATTGTGGGGGTACAATGTGGCAACAAGGATAGGGCTACGATGGATAGATAACAGTTTTAAACCTATCAGCAAATGAATACTCAGCTAACAAATCCAAGAAAAGTTTGAATCACTAAGGTAATAAATTTCTTGCAAATGATTATGAAATCTATCTTGTTTAAGGCTGTGTAAGATCAGGGATATTCTACATGGTAAAAAAAGATGTATTGGATTCTAGTGGAATAAGCAATGTGTTAGTTGTTAAGTTTTTGAATCGGAGATTGAGATTGGAGGTGCAGTAAAAACAAAGGGGGGTAACTACCTAATTAAGATGTTCCAACTTTGTGCATATTGCATGGAAAGAAATAACTGTGACCTCATTAGTCTGTGGAAGATGTGCTTGGGGTGATGGTTTTTTATATGTAGAAGTGTTTGTTGCTAACTTTTACATTTGTTGTCTAGTCTGAATTTAAATACTATGCTATCTAAGAAATTAATGATTTCCTGTGTGCTGTGGCTTTAAGTTTAGTGGTGACTTGACCGTAGCTCCTGGAGATCTGAAATAAAAACAGAAATTGCTGGGGAAACTCAGCAAGTCTAGCAGAATCTGTGGAGAGAAAACAGAGTTAATATTTTGAGTCTCGTGCCTCTTCATCAGAACTGATGATTGGGGATATTGATGAATTATTCAATCTCTTTGAGAGCCTAAATCCTCCATGTGTCAGTAGAAGATAGTGTTATGTGACTGCATAATTGACCTTGTAAATGAGTTAGCACATAAAAATCTATTTTGACCCCAACAGATCTTGAATCCCTCTATTGCCTTTTTGCTCCTGAATGCAACAAGCTTCTTCTTACAAGTCAGTGTTTTCTGCATTAGATACTCAATGTGACAGAGTTCCCATTCTCACCACTCACTACATAAATAAATTTTTCCTAAATTCATTTTCATCTGTGAATGGCTTTCATTCTCCATTTATTAGGACTCAGTCACAACTGAAATCATTTTCATCATACCCCTCAATTCCTGTAAATCGTTGCACTCTACTTAATATTTGAGGATGAGGCAACTATTACACTCAAACATATGAGTGGGAGTAGGCCACTTAGCTGCTTAAGTCTGCTCTGCCATTCAGTAAGATCATGGCTGATCTGATTACCCCATATTCCTGCCTACTCCGATAACCTTTCATCCCTTTGCTTATCAAGACTCTAACCATCTTGGTATAAAACTGCTTCCAATTGGTTCATATCACTATGCAAGCCAATGACAGACCTGATCATTTGAACAATTTAAACAGCAAAGACTTGGGTCTATAGGGTACCTTTTGAAATGATCAAAATTCCAAGTAGTTTCAGAGGAACACCATGCAGCAAACTTTGATGTCAAGTACATGAAGAGATAAAGGCTGATGGCCAAATGTTTGGTCAAAGAAGTATATATTAAGCAGCATCTTATAGGAGGAAAGCAAGGCCTGAGGGGCAGAGAAAAATAAGGATGAAATTCTGGAGCTTAGGGTCCAGACAGTGGAAGGCACCACCACTAGTGGTGGAGTGATTAAAATCAGGGATCCTAATGTGGCCAGAATTAGAGGAGTATAGGTATCTTGGAGCATTGTCAGGTTTCAGATTTTAAAAAGTGAGTTGAAGTCACAGAGGGATTTGAAACAATAATGAAACTTTTAAAATTGCTTAACCAGGGGCAGTTTGTTTGTTTAGTTGATAAGTTGATGCAGACGGGCATAAGTCCAGCAAAGTGGAGCCTCCAATTACACAGTTCACCATTGACCAATCAGGAGGTTTTCTCTGAAATTAAATAATTAACGTCCCAAACCGAAGCGCTTTGAGTTCTTTTGGTTCTGAGCTCCTCGTTTTGCAATTCAGAACCTAACAGGAGATGTAATAACTTGTTTAGGCCTGATGGGAGGAGTACTGGTTAAACCTGTTTAACGAAACAAGTTGCATCATAAGCTAAGTGCTTTTGGGTTTCTGCTTGTGGGAGTAGCATCTCCAGCTTTAATGAACAGATTGTTGGTCAAGTGAGAAAGTTGAAGTTCTACCTGCACGGGCATTGCTGTAAGTTAATCAGTAGATGAAAAGGATCGTGGTGAGTCTAAGTGGCTGGGTGGTGTGATTTAGTGATCGTACAGTGAATGTTGTTAAATTTAGGATGTTGTACCTTTAGCTTCTCCAAACTCTTGGACATAATGTAAATTTTGTTTTCCACTTTTAAGTTTCTAGTATGTAGGGAAATACTCTTCTAAGAACCAGTTACTGAATGGTGTTGCTATAGCTGTGTTAAAATCTAATAAATTGACAGATGTTGAATTGATCAGTGCTACTAACTATTTTGGGTCTTCTAGCAAGAGCCTGCGTTTTTGTATTTCTACAGTTGTGTCTTTTCATTAAGAAATCTGCTCTGGTGTAATCTGTTCATAAAATGTTAGATAACCCAAAATCCTGCTGCTAATTTTCTAAATTGTAGAATGTCTCTATCACTCCATTACTTTTCATGTTTAAGCTACGTTGGCTGTGTCTCAAGTTTTAAATGCTCATTTACGTTTTCAGATCTGTCAATGACCTCAGCCCCACCCTTTTCTCTGTAAGCTCCTCTTAACTTTGCAATCATTTGAAATCTCTGTCCCAATTCTGGCTTCTTGTGCATCCCTGATTTTCATTCTTTGTGGAAGTTTCATAAGCTGCCTTGCCCCTAAACGCTCAATTTTCATTCTTAAACAACGCTGTCCTCCTGTATCTCGGACAGCCATTCATCATCTCAAACGCCTGTTTGTGCCTTGTGATTAGATCATTATTCAGTGAAACTGGAATATCTTCCCCAGGGTGCAAGTCTGGAGACTCTGTGCTGCCCAAATGTCAGGATCCACCTCAGTATCCCTGATTGGGTCTAAAGTAATGCACATCATTTGCACTAGCTTGATTATGGGAATTGCTGGAAAGTTGACAGACTTCAATCTGTTTTTGGAACTTCACATTTCCTGTCTGGGTTTATTCCCTGAACCCTCAATTCTCCAGAGAACTACAAGGTCTTAGGGTTGTTTCTCCGCAGCTGGAAGTTTATTTCTTAAGTGCCAGGGTGTGTCCATAGGCTAGTGGACCTGCACACTGCATACCTGAGGCTATATCTCATGCAGGTTCCTCTGAAGCTTGCGATTGTAGTTTTCAATCATCTTGTTAATATCTCCTTAAGTGAGTCAGTGTAAACTTTTGTTTGTGCCTTTTAAGGACCTTGGGATATTTTCAGAATAAAGGTGGAAGATAATTGCAGGTTGCTGTGTTTCCTGAGGATATTTTTTTACCTCACTGCTCCCACCCCCCCACCCCCTGCCCTTTACCAAGATTGAAAATATATTGTTTGGTAAAGAGGAGTTGGTATGTGCAAGTTTATGCTATGTGTCTGTCTGGCTGGCAAACTGAGTAAATAAAGGTGAAATCTTGTTAGTGACTGGAGATTGAATCAGTCAACTAACTACAGTTGAGGGCTAGGCTAATTGTCTTTACAGGGTTAGGAAGTTAGTAATTTCCTATTTTCTTCAGTGGTTGAAGGTTTTGATGCTATGCTTAATTGAGATCTGCCACCTGAAAACCAGCAGCATTATTCTGCAAGTGTAAAAGGAGCTTTTCGAGCTTAAACTGACGAATTCCCACCTCCAACATGTCTCCCCCACCCCAAACACCACCCCACCCCACCCCAAACATCACATCACCCTAGATCCCTTCATCAACCTTGCCCTATCTTCTGTGACGTTCAAGCTACCTCCATGATCCTTGACCAACTGTTCCCTACCCTAGGTTGAAAGTCTTATTGTAACTATATGAAAAAAGGGATGCCAATTTAAAGCTGAGTTGAGAAATGCCTTCACTGAGGATGATAGTCTTTGTAGCTCCTCGTCGCAGAGAGCAATGAGGGCAAAGACTTTATGTATATTTAAGGTTGAGAGATTCTTAATCAAGAGAATTGAGTTACAGGCAAATGCAGCAAAGTGGACATGAGGTGTTGGGATCGGGCACGATCCTATTGAATGGCGGAGCCGGCTTGAGGGCCCGAATGGCCTACTCCTGGCCTAATTCACTTGCCTTTGGGAAATTGACATATCGTTTTCCCCTTTTATATTGAAATGCCCTGCCCACCTCATTTTCCTTGCTGGATTCTGCCCTGGGGCCGCTAATATGGCTTTAAACTAAATAGCTGACTGGAGAGTTCATATGAAGCTAATTGTAGAACGGTAAAGAGAGAGGACGAAACAATTGAACAGATTATAATATTGGCAATGATAACTAGAATGTGATAGGAAAGGACAGAACGCGCAACCCTTTAAAGTTCACCAGCAAGTGGAACCATCATCATCAGAGTAAGGCCACGCTTAGAATATTGTGTTTAGTTCTGGTCACCACCAGAAGGATGTAGCTGCGTTGGAGAGGGTACAGAAAGGGTTCACCAGTTTCAGTTCTGAGGAAGGATCACTGGACTCAAAACATTAACTCTGATTTCACTCCACAGATGCTGCCAGACCTGCTGAGCTTTTCCAGCAATTTCTGTCTTTGATCCTTAATTCCCTTACTGATTCAATAATGTGTCTGTCTTCACCTTGGATATACTTATTGACTCAGCCTTGACAGCACTTTGTTAGGCACACATCATAACTGATTTTCAGTCTCAACTACAATTTCCTGCCACCTCCGTGTTTTCATCAGTTTCCTGAGGGAATGTAATATACTTATATCCAAAAGACTTTTGACAAGGTGCCATCGTAAACGATAAGAGCGCATGGTGTTGGACTGGTGATGCATCAAAGATAAGGAACAAAAACAGAAGTTGCTGGAAGCTGAGCAGGTCTGGCAGCATCTGTGAAGAAAAAATCAGAATTAACGTTTTCGGCTCTGGCGACCCTTCCTCAGAACAAAGATAAGGATTGGCTAACCAACAAAAGAGTTGCGATAAACGGATCATTTCAGTTTGGTAAATTCTAAGTAATGAGGTGCCAGAGAGATCATTGCTGCAGCCTCTACGGTATTATTTATAATCTGTTAATGACTTGGATGAAAGGACCAAGTGTATCGGAACCAAATTTGCAGAGGTAGGTGAGAAAGGAAGTTATGGGGAGGACAAAAAGTTTGCAAAGGAATATAGAAAGTCAAGTTTATGGTAAAAATTCGTAGGTGGAGTATAATGTGGGAAATTTAGAGATTATCCACTTTGGTAGGAAGAATTGAAAAGTAAAGTATTATTTTAAATAAAGACATGAAGCCATAAAGTTTGAATGCAATTCCAGCAAGTAATTAGGCAAATGAAATTGGCCTTTTATTGCAATTGGCTGGAGTAGAAAACTAAGGAAGGCTTACTACGTCTGTACAGGGCGTTCATAAGACCACACCTAGAGTACTGAATAAAATCTCTTTCATACATTTTTTAAAGATGGATACACTTGCATTGGAGACAGGTCAGAATATGTTCACTGGGTTTGATTCTTGGGGCAAAGGGATTGTCTTCTGAGGAATAAGTTAAGCAGGTTTGGCCTATAACTCATTAGTGTTTGGAATAATGAAATTATTATTCAAGATGTTGTATCTTGCAACAAAAATGGAAAAAGTAAAAGTTGGGGAATTTTACTGCTGCTGTATAAGGTGGTCGTGAGACCACAATTTACATACCATGTACAGATTTGATCTGTTTATTTGAGAAGATACGTAATTGACTCAACTCATTCCTGAGAAGAAGGGTTTATCTAATAAAGGTCTAACCTGTTCAACCTAAATCCATTGGCGTTTAGAAAATTGAGGCGATCTTATTGAAACATGTAAGATCTTGATGGGACTAGATAGGGTGGATAGCAAGGATACTTCCTCTTTGGCAAACTGAGGGGTGTTGTTTAAGAAGCGTTTCTTTTGAGATGGATGAGAATTTTGCATTCGATCAAAGGGCCAGCTGAGTGTGAAATTCTCTCCCCAAAAGCAGTGGAGACAGTAAGGGAATAAAGCATTAAAAATAGGGAATTCTCGCTAAAACTATACAATGCAGTCGTCAGAACATAGCTGGAACTGTGAATGGCGTTGGTCACCTTATCTAAAGAATGATATACTGGATTGGAAGCAGAAGGTTGAGTCCAGGTCTGGAGGGATGCTTGTTTGAGGAGACATTGAGTAGGTTTGGCCTGGGCTTGGTGAAGTTTAGAAGGATGAGAGGAGACCTTTTGAAATGTGCAGATTCTTAGGGGGCTTGACAGGGTAGATCGGCCAGGATTATGATTGAATGGTGGAGCAGAGCTGATGGGCCAAATTGCCTACTCCTGCTCCTATGCCTTAGGGACTTGTCTATCTTGATAGTCCAGGGTCATGAAGGACAGGTTGGAAAGTGGAGCTGAAAATACAACCGTATCTGCCATGATCTAATTGAATAGCAGTCCGAGGTCATTGGACCAAATGGTTTAATCCCACTTCAGTCCTGTGTTCTTATGAGACAGTTGGTGGGGTAGATGCTGAGAGGATACTTTCCTTTTGAGAGGATGTCTAAAACTTGGGAAAACAATTTAAAAATGAGAAGCCATTTAAAACAGTCCAGGAGGAATTCCGATGGTCCTTGTAAAATTTGGAATTCTCCACCCAGAGAGGGGAGTGGGAATGGAGCTAGTGAGCTAATGTGGAAACGAGGCCAAGATCTGATTTGAGTGGCAGCAAAAGCTCGAGAGGCCATTTTGCCTATTCCTGCTCGTGTTCTTTTTCCGATCTTATCAGCTAGACTGAGCTCCTGGCAAACAAAAAATACTATGCACCTTTACTTGATTTTTGTGAATTTGTGCTCATTATTGATATCAGGGAATTAGATTCGTCCTTGAAAAGGAAATAATTACAGGACTGTGAAAAGAGAACAGATGTGTGGTATTAATTGGTCCTTTCAAAGAGTGCCAGTACAAGCACGAAGGGGTGAATGGCCTCCTGTGCTATAGTCAATTAAAAAGAGACTTTGGTACCAACCATCTGGTCTGGATTCAAGCCTAACCTCCAGAGCTGAAGGCAATCTCCTAACAACTGCAGTGCCTTGTGGCTTCCTCCAGTACTTCTCCCCCTTAATCTTGGTCTGAATTTAATTTTTTCTGCATATTCTACTTTCATTCAGCACCTCCTTTAAACACCTGCCACTTACCTTGCTGTGACTCACAAACATGAGGCAGCTTCCTGCCTCTTGGTGGCAAAGCACCTTCAGAATAAAAATGACCCACCCAAACATAGTCATTCTGCTAATGACTCAAGTGATCAGTCAGTCCACCTTTTTAAATTATGAAGGATTGAGATTGAAATTGAAATTGAAATAAAATGCTTGAACCAAAACACAGTAAAATTTGCAAATCAATAGGAACTAGGGGACTGAAGAAAGACAACCTCTATGTTTATAGAGCATTTCATAACCACAGGTCATTGAAGCCACTATACTACTTTGAAAACGTAGTCACCATGTCAATATGGAAATGTGGCTTCCAATTTACAGCAAAAGCTCACAAATGGTGTTGAGTGAATAGATAAATTTTTCTTTTTGTTTTAGTGAAGTTGTATGAAGGTTAAAATATTGACCAGCAATGGTCCCTCTGAGCTCTGCAAGTGCTCCAAGGTTCTGCATGTGCTGATCCGTGTGCTGACACCATTCCCAAAATTGACTTTCAGTTTCAGAAGTCCCTGCCACATATGGACCTTGAGGTCCAGGCAGAAGAAAACAGAATTTGAGGGAATGAAGTTGACTGTGACCAGTATACAGGGGAGAACTCTCTTGCTGCTCTTCAAGCAGTGCTCGAGATCTTTTGCATCTACCTGAGAGTGCAGAGGAGCAGCTTCAGTGTAACATCTCATCTGCAGTACAGTGCATTTGACTGTCCAGCACTCCTTCAGAGCTGCACTAGAGTATGAGGCTAGAATTTGTGCTTGGACATTGATTGAAAATTCTGATTATCACCACCTTGTTGGAAACTGCACAGGTAAACCAAAGGAAATATAAAAATAAAATGTATAATTTCAAAATGGGAACAATTTTACTTCTGTTTATCTTTTGTCTAATTGTCCAATAAATTCTTGGAAGCTGAAGTCTACATTTTGCTTCCTTTAGTGCCCAAAACTCGTAGAAGTGTTTAAAAAAAAAATCCATGTGCCTACTATTATGTTAAACTGAAATGTATGACTGCGCTGAAGGTACAATTAGAGTATTATTCCAGTCAGATCTGGTCGTGATGTGAATGTAATATCATCTTTGAGAAGGTGTTTGCCAGATTACGGGAAAGAGTGGAGGAACCAGCACAGGAATAAATGTTTTTGCATTTATCTGGAATTCACCTCCTGTGTGGCACTTAGTACTTTCAAGAAAGAGAACAACAGGGTAAGGGCTTCGCAGGGATATGAAATGAAAGGTAAATGGAGTAAAGGTGCAGAGGAGTCAACATCAGATTGGTGAAACGTGTTCCACTGATATGTTTTAATACCCTGAATAAGCAAATAATTTATCAGTTTCAGCTGTGAAAATTTCAAGTAACCACTCCCACCCCCAATCCACAACCTAATGGGGGAGTGAATTCAATCCTTTTACTACCTCTTGTATGAAGTTTTAGACTTGCACCCCATTATACCCACTAGAGAAAATAATTTCTCTTCATCTACTATTATCACTTCAAAGACATCAATTAGATCACCCCTCAACGCTTTAAACCAAAAGGAATGCAAGCCAGGTTTATGCAACCTGCCCTATTAATGTAATTCTATAAGCTGTGGTATCAGTCTGGTGAATCTGCACTGTTTCCCTTTCTTTAATACCTCCCTGCAGTTTTCAAATAACAGTGGTCTGATTTTTCTCTCCAAAATTGCAACACCCTGTTCCTTATCTGTGCAGTTTTGTCTGTGTATGAATTGTTTGGATCTTTTTGTAGTTGCTTGGCTACTTATTCAGATATAACCTGCCCAGGGAATCTATTGGCTTAGTGTCTGCATGGCTAATTCAAAATCATTTGCTGTGGAACCTCCTACAGTGTTGGCATTGGTATTAGTGTCCGACAGTGGTGAATATTTAGTGTGTGAAATCCTGTCTGCTTTGACTGTTCTGGTTTCCTCTTTGCCTTTCTGCACTTTTTAAAAAAAAAATACTTAGGAGGCTTCTTTATTCATTCTACACTTTACATTATGTACTTTTTATTTCAACAGATATTGCTGCAGTTGGATCCTGATTGGGGTTTTTTTTGTATCATCAGTGTTTGTTTCTTATAAACTGCACCAGGAAGTTCTTGTTTTGCACTTGCTATATGTGTGCTGCAGGTATTGTGCAGCTACCTCAATTGAGGTTTCATTGAGTACAACCCCTTTCCTGGTCAATTCCCTCAAACTGTTCCTTTTGTAATGTTGAATTGCTCTTTTTTTAAAGTTGCATATCTCACTATTTGCTGCAGTGGTTTGTGCTAGATGGTGTGAAATTTTAATGTTTAATTCATTGTTTCCTAAGGAGGCCATTACTTCTATTCTTGGTTGTTTATTTGGTCACATGATGTGCTATTACCATCATTCAGCACCCATGACAAACTTAGTCAAAAAGCAATCCTTACTTGTATTCACAAGCTCAATTCTAGAATACTGAGGAATCACAGTTCATATTGTTTTAAAGCCTGCCTCTCATCGTGCTTTGTCCTTTTGGAGAACAGGGGAATTTGCTAAAGGACTTCACAACAGTCACTTTGCATTTGTTACGGTCATTGCTTTGGCAAGTCCAATAGCCAATTTATGCAAAGTAAGATCTGATGTGTAGGAATGAGATAAATCATCAGTTTTCTGTTGAATTTGATGTAGGGCTGAATGTTGGCTGGAATCCTGGGAGAGTTGCCCTACTCTTCAAATAGTTCCGAGGGGCACTAAATCTAAATTAACCCTAATCTGTTTGCCTAAACTTTCTACTTCACATTTACTTGTCTCTATATATCATTCCATTCTTAATCCTAGTGCATTAAATACTTCCAGCTGATTCATCCATTTGTTTTGACTTGTTTTTAACTTTTGCTCCAGACTTCTGTGCGCTGTCTGCACACTTGTGTTGTGATTCATTCAGTGGACTGAGTTAATGTAAACACACATGGACTCAACTCTTAAAACAATACATCCCTTTCATATTAGATTGGCAGGTGGAATATTGCGAGATAATATTTCGTGATAGTGGGTAGTAATGAAAATGTGAAAACTCAGAAAATAGCCAGAAGGCCTTTGACAGTCTTCCTGGATCTGTATTGGATTTCAAAAGTAATGCCAAGTTCTTGAAATCTGAACCATTAACCACCCGGTATTACAACCCCACTAATCCTAGCAGGATTCACAGATTTTTCTCGCACACCAACTCCATCATGGATCACAGCATCACTATTCCCATTAATTCCCTTTGGAATTATAAACCTGTCACCCCCAGCAACCCCACTGGGAATCACAGCTGCACTAACCAGGTCTGCCATTCCATGAGATCAGGCCTAACTCCATTTATTTACCTTACTTCATATTCCTTAATACTGTTGGCTAGCTGAATTTAACATGATTAATTGAGTTTGCATCTCCAGTTGTTTTTTTTTCTCTGAGTGGGGAATGTTCCACCATTTATATGAAGCAATAGATGCTTCTTTAAATTCTTTCCTGAATGCCCCAGTTCCGATTTTTAGCAACAAGAGCTGCAGCTTGTTTTCTTTGCTTAAAACTTCTCAATTCAAGTACCCCTTTGTAATTTTGATTTTAAACACTTTTTGACCAGTAGTTCTGTGTTATGCAATATGAACTACACACAGCATTGTTGTTAAAGATGTCCTCTTGTTTGCATGCAGTCCTGAAGATGGAAACTGCTGACCTGATCGAAAAAGCAAGGCTTGCTGAGCAGGCAGAGCGCTATGATGACATGGCAGCCTGCATGAAAACTGTCACGGAGAAAGGCGATGAACTCTCCAGTGAGGAACGGAACCTGCTCTCTGTCGCATACAAGAACGTAGTTGGAGCCCGTCGGTCATCCTGGCGGGTCATGTCCAGCATAGAGCAGAAAATTGAAAGCGGTGAAAGGAAGCAGCAGATGGTCAAAGTGTACCGAGAGAAAGTCGAGAAAGAGCTGCAGGACATCTGCAACGATGTGCTGGTGAGGCTTTGCACTGCTTATGTGACTGGTAGTTTTCAAAAGGGATACTTGAAAGAAACAGGGGAAATATGCAGATCTAGGGAGTAAGGATTTGGGGAATAAGACCGACATTCCTTTTACTGTTTTAAGATGGTCATGTATCAAAGGGAATGTTGTTTATGCACAGCTGCTTTGTACCCTGTGCTACACATTTCCAAATGTAATGTAGATATGCAACCATGCAGCTTAGAGGGGCTGTTACAAAGTCATACAGAGCACAGAAACAGACCCTTTGGTCTAACCAGTCCATGCCAACCATAATCTAAACTAAACTAGTCCCACCTGCATGTGCTTGGCCCATAAACTTCCAAACATTTCTTTATTCATGTACTTATCCAAATGTCTTTTAAATGTAGTAACTGTACCCGCATCCACCACTTGTTCTGGAGGTTCATTCCACATATGAGCTACTCAAGTCTTTTTTTCAAATCTTTCTCCCATCACCTTAAAAATATGTCCCCTAGTTTTGAAATCCCCCACCCAACGGATAAGACACCTGCTATTCACCTTATCTATACCCCTTGTGATTTTATAAACTTCTAAGGTCTGCTTTCAACCTCCTACGCTTCAGTGAAACAAGTCCCAGCCTATCCAGCCTTTCCTTATAACTCAAACCCTCCATTCCTAACCACATCCTAACTCTCTTCTGAACCCTTTCCAGCTTAATATCCTTCTTATAACAGGGAGACCAGAACTGGACACAGTATTCCAGAAAAGGCTTCACCAAAGTCCTGTACAACCTCAACATAATATCCCAACTCCAGTACTCAAAGGATTGAGCAATGAAGGCAAGCATGCTAAATGCCTTCTTTCATCACCTTATCTGTATGTAATGCAGACTTCAAAGAATTGGGTACCTGAACCCCTAGCTCTGTCTGTTCTACTACACTGCCCAAGGCCCTACTTTTAATTGTATATGTTTTGTCTTTGTTTGTTTTACTAAAATGCAATATGTCGCATTTATCCAAAATAAACTGTTGAGTAGGGCTTTGTAAGTAGTTCTTTTAAAAAGCTAGTCCAGGTATGATAGGTTCCCTTGCATTTTCCCACATTATATTCCATCTACCAAGTTTTTGCCCATTTACCTAATTTATATCCCTGATGACACAGTCAAGACTTGCCTTTTCACCTAATGTATCAGCACAACCGGCCCTGTATAGAGAATCAGAGCAACTGCTCAACACCACATGCTTTGTGGGGCTCTGCACTGCGAACATAGGGAGGAACTAGAAGCCAGGATTGGAGGTGTGACCTTTTGAATAGATGAGTGGCACCATGTGACCTTTCCACTTTGTTTTTGGTTTGTTTTGAAGGCAGCAATGGTTAATGCAACAGTTTGATTTGCCCTAGACCCTACATCGCCTGGGAGGGTTGTGATGGTGAGACAACTTGGCCTTAGCTGGGAAAACTTGTTGGTGTTTCCATTTTCTGCACTGAAAAATAGGGCACTTGACTCAGGAGTTCTCCCTGTTGGGTGTGGGTTTTCACATTTCTTAATGATGCTAAAAATCAAATTCGGTTCCTGCTGCCATGATTGTAGTAAACTCTTGGGAATTATTAACTACATTTTTTTTTGTTGTGCTGTTTTTCCATTCAAATTTTGTTGCTTACATTGTGATAATTCCTTGATTTAAGAGAGTTTGTGGCTTAACTTGGTTCCTTTTGTGTAAAATTTTTGAGTTCCACACTCTAGCTGTGTATTGGAACCTGGCATTCCCATGAGAGAAAAGAGGTAATTGAAAGCAATTACCTAAATAGTTATGCACATTGTCATTGATCTCACTAAGGTAGCACTCATCACTTTATTGTTAAGATCTCATGAACAGTGTATTCGATATACTGTCATAAGAGCCTGCATATACTCTGAATTTCTTAAGAGTTTCAGGTGAAGAACTAGATAAGAGCTTTTACTGCATTACTCCAATTGCTGGATGAATGATCCAATAAAACCCTATCACACTGAATAATAAACATGGGGTGGCAATGAGATTCTTCCTAGCAAGTTAGCTAATATCTTTTACTACAAACTAAACTGTTGGCCAGGACCTCCTTTTTATACAGCAGCAATCAAGGGGTTAACATACAAGCTTGGGAAGTCATTGACCATGCTACCAAATGCCGAGAAGACTCTGTGCATCCTTGCCTGGCATGTGCATGGCTAATGCCATGTTTAGTGAGTTGTAGTTTCTTCCAGAGGTCTTTCTTGCCTGTGATGAAAATTGAACTTGGTTCTAGTAAACGTATATTGTTCAGCCACACTGGAATAGCGTGTTGCTCAATCTGCTGGCCAACCTAGCTTAGCTGTAGCTTTTGAGTGCTTGTGACAGCTGTATGACCTAGCATCATTGTACTTCCCATAAGCATTAAGAATTTAACAATGCAGTATCAAGGAGAGATCTCATCCAAATCCTAACTGGGTATTATTCTGAATAAGATGCCACATGTTCTGTTTAAAGCTCTGAATGGGTGGAAAGGTAGTGCAGATAGCATTATTAACATCTACTATTGAGCACAAACCCTTAGCTTAGTCAGCTTAACTATCTGAGCAGATGTGAAGAGAGAGGAGCTTTTTGTTTCTGCAGTTTTATCTCTTATTAATGTGCTCTCCTCCTTATTCATATTCATAGCATTCATATGAATATCTTAGGTTTCATGATATGTGCAGAGTTTTTAATCTGTTCTTGGGATATGGGTGTTTTGGACTGGGCCAGCATTTATTACCCATCCCAAGTTGCCCTTGAATGTGGCGGTGAGCTGCTTCCTTGAAACACTGCAATCCATGTGCTGTAGGTACACCCACAATTCCAGTGGAAGGTGTTTCATGATTTTGACCCAGCAATGCTGAAGGAATGGCAATCTGTTTACAGCCTGGATGGTGAGTAGCTTGGAGGGGAATTTGCACATGGTGATGTTCCAATGTATCTGCTGCCCTTGTCCTTCTAGATAGTAGTGGTCATTGGTTTGGAAGCATGCTATCTAAGGAAGCTTGGTGAATTTCTGCATCTTGTGGATAGTACGTCAGTGCTGAGGAAGTGGATGTGCTGCCAGTGAAGTGAGCTGCTTTACCTGGATGGTAGAACCATAAAAATGATACAGAGCAGAAGGGGGCTGTTCAGCCAACCTTGTCCAGTCAATCCAAAGACACCCAGATGCCCTATTTAATGCTGTCTTGCTGCACATGCCCCACAGCTCCTGGTCTTTGAACTTTCTGCCAAGGGAAAGAGGTTCCTCCTGTCTGTCTCTACTCCTCATAATTTTGTATACCTCAATCATGTCACCCCTCAGCCTTCTCAATTCCAAGGAAAATAGTCCCAACATCCTCAATCACTCCTTGTAGCCGCAATTGTCCAGTCCTAGCAACATTCTAGTAAATCTCTGCACTTCCATGGCAATTTCTGCTTTCCTGTAATGTTGCGAACAGAACTGCACACAGTACTCCAATTGTGGCTTCGCCAGTGTCTTGTATGGTTTCATCATTATATGCCAATGAAGGAGAGCATTCCAACTGCCTTCTTTACAACCTTAACAACTTGTAGTGCTATCTTTTGGGACCTGTGTACTTGTTAAGTTCTTGGAGCAGCAGTCATCCAGACATGTGGGGGGTGTTCTGTTACACCTGACAGGGTTTGGGGTATAAGGAGATGAGTTACTCACTGCAAGATTTCTAGCCTCTGACTTGCTCTGGTTGTCACTGTACTTGTGTCCCATCCAGTTCAGTATTTTGTCGATTAGTAACCCCCAAGTTGTCGATTGGCGATACTGTTCAATATCGCAGAATAGTTATCACATGGCACTTGTGTGATACAGATGTTACTTGCTACTTGTGAGCCCAAGCGTGGATGTTGGCATTTGTACGTGGACTGTTTCAGAAGCTGAGGAGTTGAACATTAGACAATCATCAGCAAACATCCCTACTTCTCACCCTTATGGAAGGATGGCTGTTAATGATGCAGCTGCAGGTGGTTGGGCCTAGACTATTGGACCTACACTATTTTGTTTACGAGCTCAACAAGGTTGGGGATGCTCCAGGAGTTTGTTGGCTCATTTAGGCTAGTGGTCTTGGGAAACTTGTTGACAAAATTGAGTATAGTGAAACTACTGAGGAAGAGTCATCTCCCCTTATTCAGTGAATCCAAGATGCTCTGATGACTTTTTTTTTAATTCATTCATGAGATGAGGGCATGGCTGGCTAGGCCAGCATTAACTGCCCATCCCTAAATGCCCAGAGGGCAATTGAGAGTCAACCACATTTCTGTGGGTCTGGAGTCACATGCGGGCCAGACCAGATAAGGATAACAGTTTCCTTCCCTGAAGGACATTAGTGACTCAATCTCCTTGGATTCACATTGAAACTGTCTGTAGAATGGCTAAAAGGAGAAACTTGCATGGTATCTACGCGTTATCTAGTCATTTTCATCCAGCATCTGGTGTTCTGTGACGTATGCTGCTCCTGGTCTGGTAAGGCATTAATTTTTTTTGTTGTAAGTCTGATGTTTGAATAATCCTATTTTCTTTAACAACTGTAAAACTCACCAAGATCTCTGTTTCTCTCCCTCTGCTTCCCCTTGCAGTACTTTGTGTATCCCCAACATCCTTCAATCTTTCATTAACATCGGTGGTTCTCAAAACCTTGACCCCAGTCACTAGAATTTTCTCCCAAATGGAGGAATAATTCACTTGGATTGAAGGCAGACAAGTGCTAGGACTTGAAACAAAAGTAGAAATTGGTGAAACTCAATAGGTCTGGCAGCCTCTGTGGGGAGAAAGCAGAGTTAATGTTTCAAGTCTGGTTACTCTTCTTCAGAACAGATGGTTCAACAATTTTTTTTATTTCAGTGCCTGATGGTTTGTATCCCAGGGTTTTAAAGGAAGTGGCTGCAAAGATAGTGGAGGTATTGATCAAATTATACCAGTACTTCCTGGATTCCACAGGGTTCCAGCAGATTTGAAAACTGCCGATGAGATGCTCCTGTTAAAGTATGGAGGGAGACTGAAAACCAGAAACTCAACCAGATAGCCTAGCATCTGTCATTGGGAAGAAGCTATTGTGCGTTATAAAGAATAAATAGCAGGGCATTTAGAAAAGCTAGCACAATCAAAAAGTCAACATAGCTTTGCGAAAGGGAAATCATAATTGACAGATTTGTCAAAGTTCTTTGAGGATATAACAAATGAATTAATAAAGGAAAACCAGTAGATGTTCAGTAATAGAAAGATTGCTGAAATCCATTGTATGTCCCATGAATATTAATACCATAAAAATAAAATGCACCCTTTTTAACTAATTCCAGTGGATCATTTCTGAGATTCTTGCAACAACATTATCTAACAAACATATTTGATTCGTTTCCCTGTTACATTATGGTGGAAACTGAACCATGTCTATCTGTGAAACATTCATTGCTCCAGTTAGGCTTTGTTTCATTTAGGTTGGGGTGTGCAGGAGAGCGTGCTTTGAGCTGATCGAACCACTGGATTCACACTCCCTATATAACCCATGTGGAACCACTGGCTAATATTGTGGTCGTGGCGCTGAAGTGATGACCAGAGGTTGAGAGTTGAAATTCGACAGTGGTAAATTGAATGGAATAAATTTGAATGTCGCCAGAAAAATGACTTAGTATGAATGTCCACCTAGCTCACTAATTAATAGGTCAGCCTTGCCTGTTCCATGCTAAACAGTTGACCCAATATCCATTTAATTAGCTTTTTCAGATGATGCTTTGTAAAAGCTAGTCTCAGTAACGTTAACCATGACCATTATCACCACTTGTCAAAAAAGTGCATCTGATTCATTAATGTACTTTTCGGGAAGGAAATCTGTTGTCCTTATCCAGCCTTGCCTACATATGACCTGTAACAATAAATGGCTTTGCAAGCCACTCTGTTCAAGGACATTTAGGAATGGGGAAAGAAATACTGGCCTTGCCAGCAACACCCAAATCCCATGAAAGAATAAAGGAAAAAATACGAAGAATACTGCGGCAAGTAACTCGCTATCTGACTCCAAAACCTGTCCACCATCTACAAGACACAAGTCAGAACACTCCCCACTTGCCTGGATGAGTGCAGTTCCTACAACACTTAAGAAGCTTGATACTTTCAGGACAAAGCAGCCGGTTTGATTGGCACTACACCCACAAGCATCCGCTCTCTGCACCACCAGCATTTAGTAGCAGCAGCATGTACCGTCTACAAGATATACTGCAGAAATTTAACAAAGATCCTCAGCCAGCACCTGCCAAACCCACAACCACGTCCATCTAGAAGGACAAAGGCAGCAGATATATGGAGATGCTACGGTATTCAACTTCTCCTCCAAGCCATTCCCCATCCTGACTTGGAAATATATCACTGTTCCTTCACTGTCACCTGAGTCAAAATCCTGGAATTCTTCCCTAATGGCATTGTGGGTCAACCCGCAGCAGATGGACTGCAAAAGACGGCTCACCACTACCTTCTTAAGGACAACTAGGGACGGGTAATAAATGCTGGCTGGCCAGCGACGCCCACATCCCACAAATGAGTTTTTTAGAAAACTTATATACGTATTTAAATGGTGATTACAGATTTGCTAACCTGAGGCAAACAAGCATCATTCAACATGAAAATTTTATCAGAACTCGGATTTTTTTTTGTTGCAGTAGTTATTGATTCTTCTAACTCAAAATAGCACTTGCGAATGTGTGAGATAACAGTGTGGACTTGGAGGAACACAGCAAGACAGGTAGCATCAGAGAAGCAGGAAAGTTGATGTTTCAGGCTGGGACCCTTCTTCAGAATCTGTGGCTTCTTCCGTGGCACTCCTAAGTTCTCAAGATTTCAACCTTTGATTGGACGGAATCCAAAAATGGGAAAATTCCACCCTTAGTGTCAGTCAGGATATGGGCAGTAATTATGATGAGATCAAGTTTACAGAGGGTGAAAAAGGATGCAAGAGCAGTGTCTACCTAGTAACTCGGAGAAATTCTTAGTTCTTACTAACACAGTTGCAAATGTGTGTTTTTTTTTGTTCATTACCTGACATCTTTGTTCATTTTTCATCCAGTATCTTCTGGACAAGTACCTAATTGCCAAAACAACCCAGGCTACAAGCAAGGTCTTCTATCTGAAAATGAAGGGAGACTATTACAGATACCTCTCTGAGGTTGCAAGTGGGGACAAAAAGAAAGGTATGTTCGGAGAGCTAATCTCTTATGTGCCAACTCCCATTGCAACATAGTTTATCAACAGCATCTACCTATAAGTCAAACAGACTATTTCACTGAATCCATCTGTGGTTCAACAGCTACTAATATCTACGCTCAAGAATACAAATATCGCTGAAGGGTTGAAAGAGCAGTCAAAGGATGTATGAAGAAGTTGATATCTGTATATTTTTGAGGAATCCTGGTTTTAGTAATTTAAGGGTTTGTATGTCATTCCATTTTGTCATTGCCCTTTCTTGTTTTGCATGTTATGTGAATTTACATATGAATTACTTTCTGTCAGTGAAGAAGCTGTTATTTCCTATAAGCACTGTTCATGGCAAAAAGCCCACAATGCATAGTTACAAAGACACAAAGCAACCTGTCCAATTTTAGAATCCAGACAAACCGATAACAGTTGGGCCCCAAACATTTGGTTTTGTTTTCTCATATCTTTGTTTGAAACTCGTACTACTTCTTAGAAGTGAGACGTTCAACTCACTGTTGGAATAATAACAACTTACATTTATTTAGCATCTTCAATGTAACAAAAGGCCCCAAGTTGCAGAAAAAAGAGCATTGTAATTTTTTTTAAAATATATTTATTCATGGGCTGTGGGTGTCACTGGCTAGGCTGACATTTATTGTCCATCTCTAAATTCCCTTGATGGCAATGTGCTACCTTGACCACATCAGTATGCAGGCTGTACTGCATCCACCAAGCTGTTAGGGAATTCAGGATCTTGCCCCAGGGATGCTGAAGGAATGGTAGTATAGTTCTGAGGCACAATAGTGTTGGAGGGAAACTTGCAGGGAGTATTGTTCCCATGTATCTGGTACTCTTGTCCTTCTAGATGCTGAGGTGGTGGGTTTGGAAGGTGCTCTCCAAGAAACCTTGACGAATTCCTGCAGTGTATCTTCTAGATGATACATACATACTGCTGCTGCTATGCATGTTGTAGGTTGTGGATGGGGCACCAATCAAGAAGACTGCTTTGTCCTGGATGGTGTCGAGCTTCTTGAGTGTTGTTGAAGCTGCACCATCCAGGCAAGTGGAGAGTATTCCATCACACTCCAGACTTGTGCCTTGTAGATAGTGGACAGGCTTTAGGGAGTTAGGAGGTGAGGTATTTGCCACATAATAGTTGGGGTGAATTGTGTGGATATATGAGATCTAGGTAGACAGGTGAAGGAGAAACATGTTGAAGGGCATGCTGACAGGGTGGAACAAAATGGGGTATGATGCATAAACTCTACGATGGACCAGTTGAGGTGAGTGAACATGCAGTGTTGAAGAGACATCTGTTTGCAATAAGCAGTTGCAATGTAATCAGTTGTAATTTCTGCTGTGTGTGTGTGTGTGTGTGTGTGTATATGTATAAGTGTCTACTACAGCCATAACTTCTCCTCCTTCTCAAAGCTACGGTGGAAAACTCGCAGCAGGCCTATCAGGAGGCATTGGATATCAGTGAGGACAAAATGGAGCCAACACATCCCATCCGACTTGGCCTGGCTCTCAACTTCTCCGTGTTCTATTATGAGATCCTGAATGATCCTGAGAAGGCCTGCAGTCTGGCTAAGTCAGTAAGTGAATACTCAGAAGTTATTTAAGATACAGCATTGCGCCACTACCTCCTGGGTCTCATCAGAGCCCTTCTCACAATTAGTCTGTCAATAAATAATCTCATGGATTCATTCAACCACGGATCTTCTCTTCACTCCACCCTGCTACCCCCTACAAAAAAAACCTCGGCCTCTCTCTGGTCCCATTGCACGTTTCTGTCTCGCTATGCAGATTAGACCTATTTCTAATGGCAGGAAGAGGCTGTTTGGCCAGTTGTCTGTGCTGGCTCTCGGTGGGAAAAGATCACCAAGTGCCACTTCCCAATCTACTCCATGCAGCCCTCTACAGTCTTCCTTTCTCAGATAATAACCTAATTCTCCCTTTCCTTGAGTGAAGCTGCCTCCACTACATTGACAAGCATTACATTCCAGATTTTGTGCACTCCCTGCATGAAGATTTTCATCGCTGCCTCGTCTGTCCAGACCTTTTCAGAATTTTGAATAGCTTGAACAAACTTCTCCCAAAGCCACCTCTTCAAGGAACCAACTCACAACGTCTCTAACTAGTCTGCACAACTGAAGTTCTTTATTCCCTCGTATCATTCACTTGAATGTCACTGTACTCTCTGTGATGCTTTCACATCTTGCCTAAAGTGTGGCACATAGATCTGGACACAATTCTACAGTTAAGACCAAACCATTGTGCTATCCAAGTTGGAGTAACCTCATAGACTTGGTGGTAGGTTAGTCAACTGTGTGGGCATCAGAGCCACATAATAGCTTTACCCAATATTTTTACACTTCTCAAAAGTTGGAGGGCTGGGTTTGGTAACTTTGGCCATGGAGGGATCTGGAAATTAAAGATGAGAATTTTAAAATCGAGACATTACTAAACCGGGAGCCAGGCGTGTTGGAGCAAAGTTGAAGATCAGGACCTGTTGAGAGTACACACAGGAAGTTGAGTTTGGGATGACGTTGCATTTGTGGAGGTAGTAAATCAATTTTAAGTGAAGGATTGTGACTGAATCCAACCATTGTATGCAAATCAGCAGCACTAAGCTGAACAACCAGTTTCACCATTTTGTATATGGTGATCAGTCTGCTCTGCAAACAGTGATGTGGCATACTTAAATTTCCAACCACGGACGCCACAGAATTTTGTCTCAGCATGACCCTAGTCTTTACGCTCAATTCGGGATTGGTGTTTGAACCCAAAACCTTCTGATCACAAAACATGGTGTCGGCTGAGTCTGGAGGGTGCTGCACAGTTTCCTTGACAGGGATATTGCAGGCTGCAGGTTTTGTTCCTGTTTTAAGGTTGGTTTATAAAATTCAGAGTAGGTGGTAAAGGTTGACCTAAGGGGATCTATGTTATATTTGTACTTTCATTTCTGCCCAAGGAATCTAGAAATATCATTTGTCCAAGTCAAAGAATTCTAAATTTGGGGTCTTAACGAGTAGTGTCTGGCAAAGAGAAAGTGGTCTTACTGAACTTGCTTTATGCAAGGTGGGAGTGGGAACAGATAAGCAAACTGTTCCACATAAAAGCAGTTGGTGCAGCCAGTTTAAAAAGTACCAGCTGCTTAATGACACATTAAAAATAACAATGCAATTTCTGGAGCTGGTCATTATAGCATATGCAAAAGGACCATGATGGCCCAGTGGTATTATCACTAGACTTTTCGTCCAGAGACCAAGAAGTATCTTGGGACCGGGTTTGAGTCCGACAATGGCAGATGGTGGAATTTGAATTCCATAAAGATCTTGAACTAAGAATCTAATGATAACCATGAAGTTGCTGCTGATTGTCAGAAAAGCCCATCTGGTTCACATAGCTCTTTAGGGAAGGAAACTGCTGTCCTTACCCAAAACAAAGACAGAAGTTGCTGGAAAAACTCAGTAAGTCTGGCTGTAGAGACAATTTGTAGAGACAAATTAAAGTTAACGTTTTGGGTTGAGTGACCCTTCCTCGGAGCTGTCCTTATCTGGTCTGGTCTGCATGTGACTTAACCACCCCTGAGGGCAGTTAAGGATGGGCAATAAATGATGACCTAGCATGGACACCCACATCCCATGAATTTTTTTAAAACATGCTCGCTCACCCCTCACTGAATCTGCATAAAACATCTCCCACTGATAATCTCTTTTGGTATGCACCCGTTACCTTATTCACAGTTGCCAGAACTAGTTTGGACCTGAGATAGTGCCTGGTATGGAATAGCATCACTACCTCCGGACCAGTACCAGTTAGTGATTCTCAGCACTCTGCCCACTTTCTTAGCCACACTCTCTTTCCCCCCTCCCCGCACTGTCTCTTTTTTTTCTGTTGGCTCCAGGCTTTGAAATCCCAGGTGCTGCAACTACTGATGTGCAGGAATGTTCCTGCTGCAGTTTCAGCACGAAAAGCAATCTTTCCTGAATGTAGAGCATGCAAAAAGGGGGACTGGAGGAACAGAGCAGTTGTGGATGTCTATCACAGGGATAGTGGAAATGAGGAGATATTTGAAAGAATGCTAGGGACTTTTAGTTAAAACTCACAGGAGGGTATGTTGAACCATTATTTTTCCATGTTGCATGATGAGTTTTTTTTTCCCAGGACATTGTTCGACTGAAATTTGCATTCAACAGCTGACTTTCCAGGCAGCTTCTCTACAGCAATCGTAGTCAACCAGTTGCATGAGTACAGAGCAGCCTGTCATGTAATGGTAACGAACTTCCCCTTGCTTTGTGTTTGCAGGCATTTGATGATGCAATTGCAGAGCTGGACAAGTTGGCTGATGATTCATACAAAGACAGCACCTTGATTATGCAGTTACTTCGGGACAATTTAACTGTACGTATGACCAATACGGGATAAACGCCCATGGATTAAATTGCAGTCATTTAGTTGAAAAAGGGAGATTGCCTTCTGTACATTACTTATATCATTTTTCTGAAGATTTCGGTTTGACTATGAAATACTGGCAATGTGAGGTAAATTGGTATAGGTTTTCATACTTTCTGTGCACTATTAAGAAATCTGGAAACACTTAATGATTTAACAATTTTTAAGCAAGTACTGAGGTAAAGTAAGGAGGTATGAGAGGGGTGAAAAGAGCAAAAGAGAAGCTTTCTGATAGGAATGAAGACAGGGGAGTTTAAATGACAAAAAGGGAATGGTAGTGGGACCAAAAGTGGATTTGAGAGGTGCAAATGACAACCGCGGAATCACTACCAACATGGTGGCTCAGTGGTTAGTACTGTTGGCTCACAGTACCAGGGACCAGGATTTGATTCCAGCCCTGGGTGACTGTGTTTGTTTGGAGTTTGCATGTTCTCCCCGTGTCTGCATGTGTTTCCCCTGGGTGTTCTGGTTTTGTCTCTCCGTCCAAAGATGTGCAGGTTAGGTTAGGTGGATTGGTCATATTAAATTGTCCATAATGTCCAGAGATGTGTAGGCTAGATGGTAAATGCAGGATTACAGGGATCAGGCGGAAGTCTGGGTGGGATGCTCTTCAGAGGGTTGGTGCTGACTCAATGGGCCAAATGGCCTCTTTCTGCACTGTAGGAATTCTATAATTCTACAAATAGATGCTGTACACAAAAATGGAATGGTGGTGATAATCTGAAATTGTTGAACTCCCTGTTGAGCACAGAAGGTGTTAATTTGACAGCAGACCCTTCTCGATTTACACTCTGAACTACTTTTGTCCACCTGCTATTAGTTAGCTTTTGTTCACTGACATGCCTCCATCCTCCCCATATAGATTGTAGTACATCTGAAATATACTACCTCATACCACACCACATTAACATCCATCTGCTGTCATTTGTACTGCTTAGCTCAGGTATGTCAATCTGCCATTCCCTCTCTTTGCTTACTCATCGATTTTATTGTAAAAGACAAACATAGGGTTGCCATGGGCAGCACGTGATGGTAAGAGGTTTAAAATTTAAAAAGCAAGAAGTGTCTTTAAGTCTAGATTGTACAAGTATATCAAAGGGAACAGGATAACCGGGAAAGCGTTGGGCCCTTTTAGGAACCAAGGAAGCAATCTGTATGTGAAGCTGGAGGATACTGGTAGAGTGTTAAATGAGTACTCCACATCCATCTTCCCTCCCGGAGAACATAGGTACAGAAATTGGGAAGAAGCACTGAACTTCCTGAGCAGTTCCTCATGGGGAGAGGAGGGAATGAAAGCTTTGGCAGATTTAAAAACAAATAGATTCTCAGGTCCTGGTGAGTTGTATCCCAAGCTGCTATAGGAGATGAGGAAGGACCACTAAAGAGGTGCCAGAGAACTGGAGGACAGCTAATGTGGCTCCACTTTACAAGAAGGATACTGGAGATAAACCAGGGAAGTCCAGTGCATTGAGTCTCGCATCTGTGATAGGGAAACTATTGGAGAAAATTCTGAAGGAGACCATTACTGTAACCTTAGAGGAGCAAGGTTTGATAGGGATAGTCAGCATGGCTTTGTCAGAGCGAAGTCGTGCCTCGCAAATGTTAGAATTTTTTTTGAGAAGGTGACCATGAGTATAGATGAGCGTAGTGCAGTAGTTTGTTAGATTTCAGCAAAGCCTTTGTTTAAGTTTCCATGTGGATGACAGATAAAGCAAGTGAAAGCTCATGGAATCCAGGGTAACTTGGGAAGTTGGATCGAAAATTGGCTTAGTATCAGTAGACAGACCGCGATGATAGAAAACTGATTGAGCTATAAAGAGAGACTAGAAAAACTTGGGTTGTTTTCCGTGGCGTGGTGGAGACTGAGGAGAGACTTGAAAGAAGAGTATGAAATTGAAATTGAGTTGCATAGATTGGGAAAAAGATTCTGACTGCCAACCCTGAGTTGAAATGTCTAATATAGGGGGGCATGCATTTAAGGTGAGGGGGGGAAAGTTCAAAGGATATGAGAAGGGTAAGTTTTTACTTGAGAGAGTAGTAGGAGTCTGGAACATGCTGCCAGGGATAGTGAGGAAGGCAGATACGATAGGTCATGGCATAGATTATAAGACCAGGGAGGTTATGTTGGAGCTGTACAAAACTTTGGTTAGGCTGTGGTTGAAGTACTGTGTGCAGTTCTGGTCACTGCACTACAGGAAGGATGTGATTACGCTGGAAGGAGTGCAGAGGAGATTCACCAGGATGTTGGCTGGGATGGAGTATTTTATCTATGAAGAAAGAACCTGAACTTATCCAGTCTTTCTTTAGAGCAAAGTGGGGACCTGTTTTAAATATAAAAGACTGAGGGGGTATGAAGGCTCTGTAGCACAGTGGTCCCTACCTATGAGCCAGGAGGCCGGGTTCAAGTCCCATTTGTTGCAGAACTGAACTGGTTGATTAGAAAATATCTGACATGGGGGCATAATTTTAAGATGTAAGGCAGAAGGTTTAGAGGGGATCTCTCTCTCTCTCTCTCTCTCTCTCTCTCTCTCTCTCTCTCTCTCACACACACACACACACACACACACACACACACACACACACACACACAGGATTCTGGAATGCACTGCATGGGAGAGTAGTTGAGGCAGGAAACTTCTCAACCTTTTTAAAAAGTACTTGGATGAGCAATTGAAATATTGCATTGAAGGCTAGGGGCCAAGTTCAGGAAAACCGGATTAGTGTCATTTTAATAGTTTTTTGTTAGTGCAGGTTCAGTGGACCAAAGGGCGTCTTCTGTACCACATGATTCTATGTCCAGCCCAATGAGCTTCACCCGGTACTCGGTATATTAGATGTTACACTGGCACAGAGGTAATTTGATTGTGTTTCTGGACTAATAATTCACAACACATGAGGGAGGTATGCTAACTGTCGAGGTGGGAGAAAAGTCACCCAGAATAGCAGGTGGGATAGAGGGACAATGAGATGATGCACTTTATAAACGTTTGCTTTTATTCACTGGCGTGGAGTTAAAAGTGTCTGACTTAAGGTGAATGGAAATAGCAAGGAACTCCGAACAAGAGTATGAGCAACAGTGGTTCAAAGCAGGAAAATATCTTTACAAAAAAAGGTGGTGAGAATGTACACTAACATATTTTGAAGATGTAAATTCAAATGAGATGATTATTTGTGACTATAAAAGGGCAGGGAGTTGAAATTGAAAAGATTGAACTGCTGTGGTTAATAAGTGTTTTGAGCAATAGCATTAGGAGTTAGCCATTAGCACTAATATAGTGATATCCATTTTTTTTCCTGTTACTCACTGGATCTACCTATCTCTATTTGAAGCTTACTGTAATTGTCTTAAGTGCACAAGCATTTTTTTTCTTTGTTTTTATCAGTGTATGGTTGTTCTTTTGATTTTGTTTTTAATATAGTTCTTCTTGTCTTTATTTTGCAGTTGTGGACATCAGACAACCAGGGTGAAGATCAAGAACCTGGCGATGCGCAGAGCTAAAACATCTGTTACACTTCCAACTTAACTCACTGATTTACTCTCACCTGCTCCTGTCTGGCAAAACTGCCCCACCAGTCCCTCTTCCCTTTTCTTGTTCCTCTCTGATTTTTTTTTGAAAGGCAATGCATACCATTTCCTTGACCTGCACAGAGTTTCACACCACCATGCTGCATTCTGATGCACTGAGAAAACACTTGGGGCTGGGGACAATCTAACACCAGGGGTAACTGTGAGCTGCTCTGCTTTTAATGGTTAGCTTTATCTGGCTGGATATTTTGGTGTGAAACCTTCTGGCAGTTCGGTTAGAATTCCTTCAGGTGCCTAACCTAGCCTGTGAATTTACTGGAGAAAGATAAGGGGCAGGAAGAGAGGAATGAGCAAGAATTGTAGTCCACAAGCACTGCTTGGTGAGGGGCTTGCTGCTTGTTAAAGTAATTGACCCTAGAAGGCAGAGTGTTTCCTGAATTGTTCCTACTTTGTGAGTTGTATTCTCTAAATAGAGCTAGGGTTTACATTCCTCACTCCTTCTGCCCAAGTGTACATTTTATCTTGCAAGCACCATCCTCTGCACCCTCCTGCCCTGTTCAGTGAACACATACTCAGGGAAACGCAGGGACCATAATTGCAAGTGTGTCTGTTTGGGGGAGGGGGGGAGGGGAGGGAGAGGTGGGGGTAGTGGGATGTGGGTGAATGCTTGGCTATCCAACTTCTGCAGTAGCAGTGGGCTTCTTCAGTTATCATGGAAATCTGTAGGGAAGAAAATAGCAGTGGCTTTCATCATTTCAGGCATTCTTAACACAGTGGGCCACTTTTTGCACAATCAGATGCTGGTTTTGCTGCTGGGTGACCTGCATGTGTTGAAGTTCTATCAAACTAGGCTCATCTCCCCTTTGCCACCCAGCTACCAATTCCTCCTCTCCATTTATGTCCCTGCGATACTCCCTGATCACTTCCTAAGTTCTGCCTTGTTTGTTCTGTTCTCGTTGTCTTGGAGACACTCTGACTCTGGTCATGATTAGCTCTGCTGTCTCATTCACCCTTCTCTGGGTTCCCCATCGCCCCCTTCTACTCCTGTCCCCATTCCCCAGCACCAAAATGGGACTGGAACAATCTGTACTTTTGCAGCAATTTGTGCTCTTCTTCCCTTTCTTGTATTCACATGCAGCCAACTTCTGAAATTTTTCATTTTGTACTTGCACAAAGCTCAATCACGTGGTGTAATAACTGGCACCTTCAGCAACTCCACCTCCCTAATCTTGTCTTAATCCTAATCAGTATTTGAATAAGTGCTTTTGGTATTTTGATACTAAACTATTAACTTTTTTCAGATTTGTCTGTCAAACCTAGACCTCTTCCTGTAACTTCCTGCTCTTGAAACCATGGTCTGTTTTGGGCGAGTGGGGGGAATCTGCAGTTAGTGATTCCTTTGGCTTCCTGAGTAGTACTTTTGAACTTTTTTCCCAAAGTTAGAACCATGATTGTGGAAATGTGCGCAGACTTTTATTGATGCAGTCTAAATCAATCTCATCCTCTGTCAGGCTAAGTGTGAATTTTGGCAGAATCAGTGTAACTTTAATTGACTTGGCCTCTCCCTGTGGGTGAATGATGAGCTCACTCTCAGCCAATAAGCTGCACAGTCTAGCAGTGTAGCCTGTTGGGTTATCTGTTTGGATTGAGTGGTCTGATAGTTCTCTGTAATCATGACTGCTAAAGGGGACTGCATGGAAAAGGCTGACACTATCTTGAGAGAAGCGGGGTGAACTTCTTGGATGGAAGTGGGCAATTATTCAGCGTCCTAATGTGTTTCCTGTTGTGATTTGATTATTACATTCCACTGATGTGCAACGTTTGTTTGTCGTCTGCTGAAAAACGTACTGTGTACTGAAATAATAAATTGAAATCACTTCTGACTGAACGAACATGTAGTTCTAGGTGCCCTTGGTAATGAGTGCAGAGCAGACCCTCAACCCTCGTCAATATATCTCGTATCTGCTTTCTTGCTTTGTTTTGCTGACCAGTATTCTGCCTGCAGTCGCTTCTGTGACCGTTGTAGCACACACGTGATTGTGTAACAGTAGTGCAAAACATTTTAAAAAAGACTTTTTTGGATGTACGAGTAGATCTGTGTAAGTCTTTTAAATGGACTGTGGGAAAAATAAATTCAGAACATCTACATGACAGCTCAATAAGGAAATAAAGGTTCAAATGAGTAATTTGTGTTGCCTTATGTTGTCTCATTGGGAAAATTAATGTTGCCCATTGCACTCTTGGGAATAATTCTATTTTGTCTCCTGTATATAAACCTTGGTGAGGCTGCAGAAGAGATTTATTACAGTAATGCCAGATGTGAGGACTGGAGAAATTGTTCTACATCAAATGTTGGTGGTCAAGGAGAGACTTGATAATTGTGTTTGAAGTTATGAAAAGTTCGAACAAGATAGCGGAAAGAAGGTAATTCCACTAACAGCAGGGACAGTATCTAGAGAACATGTCTAAGATGGTTGGTAGAAGAGCCAGAGAGGAGATGCAGCAAGTTGTCTGGAATTAACAACCCAAAATATTGGGCATGGGAGGTATGGAAGCATAAACTTTTACAAGGGGGTTATACATGTTTTTGAAAAGTATAAATGTTTGCAGGGTTATGGTGACTCTTTCAAAGAGCTGGCACAAGCACGGTAAGCTTGAATGGCCTTCGGAACATGAGAGCAGACGTAGACTATTTGGCCACTGAGCCTGCCCTACTTCAATGCAACCTTTCAGATAGTATTGAATAAGGTTTCACAGAAATGGTTCTTGCACAACAGGGGAGCTCATTTTTTTGGGGGTAGGGGGGTAATATTTTAGCGTGGATTGATTAAGACACAATACAGAGTCTGGATTATTGAATCTTTTTCAATTTGGAAAGACATGGAGTGCCGCAAGGATCAGCCATAGGGCCTCAATTTTTTACTAGTTGTATTAATGACTGAGAGGATGGAGCAGAGTGCAATATTTCCAAATCTTCTGCTGATACAAAAATTGTAAGTATGGGACGAGAATGTAAGGAAGCTTCAAGCGGAGAGAGATGGGTTGTGAGTAGGAAAAAACATGGAAGATGGTCTTTAATATAGGAACATGTGAGGTGATGCACCGTGTTAGAAATAATCAAAAGGCAGACTACTATTTAAATGGAGAGAGACTCCAAGTGCAGCACAAAGGGAACTGGGTATTTTTGTGCAGGGTGAGGTTGGTTAGCTCAGTTGGCTGGTTTGTGATGCAGCATAGTGCCAACAGTGTGGGTTCAGTTCCTGCACTGGCTCAGGTTACCATGAGGGACTGTTCTTTTCAACCTCTCCCTCACCCGAGGAGTGGTGACTCAGGGTTAAACCACCACCCATTGTCTCTTTAATGAGAAAGCAGCACTGCAGTCTGCTAGGACTATGATGACAATATTTTATGTACAAACCACAAAAAGTAAAAGCTATCATACAGGTGCAGCAAGCAACTAAGAAGGCAAATAGAATTTTGGCCTTTGTTGTGAGGGGATTGGAGTTTAATGAGATTTTTTGCAAATGTACAGAACGTTGGTGGGTCCACACTTGGAGTACAGTTTATTTTTGTCCCTATATTTTTTGAAAGAAAGGATATCCTGGCATTGTGGGCAGTTCAAAAGAGGTTCATTAGGATGATTGCTGGGGTGAAGGGGTTGTTCAAGAATCGTTAAATGGATTAGGACTTTATTCATTAGAGAGACTAAGTGGAATAAGTTTGCATATTGAAACATGCAAATTCTCAGGACGCTTGAGATAATGTTTCCACTCATGGAAGGCATCTCTAACTAGAGACATTGCTATAGAATAGGGGGAATCATAGAGAAATACAGCATGGCAACGGGCACTTTGGCCCAAGCTGGTCCATGGTGCCAACTCAGCTCGTTCCAATTGTCTGCATTTGGTCCATGTCCCTCTAAATGCTACCCATCCATGTACCAATCCAAATGTTTTTTAAATATTGTTATTGTACCTGCCTTGCAGCCCATTCCATATATGCACAAGTCTCTGCGTGAAAAAGTTGACCCTCCTGTCCTTCTTAAATCAGTCCTCACTCACCTTAAACTCATGCCGTCTAGTTTTCAATTCCCCATCCCTGGGAAAAAGACTATATGCATTCATGCTGTCTATGCCCGTCATGCTTTTATACACCTCCGTAAGGTCACTCTTCATTCTCCTATGTTCCAAGGAATAAAGTCCTATTCTGGCCGACCTCCCTATTTACTCAGGCCTACTAGTCTTGCCAACATCCTCGTAAATCCTCTTTGCATTATTTCCAGTTTAACCATGTCTTTCCTATAACAGGGTAACCAAAACTGTACACAATACACCAGTGCACCTCACCAATGACTTATACAACTGTAACATAATGTCCCAATTCCTACACTCAATACCTCAACCAATGAAGGCCAGCATGCTAAATGTCTTCTTCACCACCCTGTCTACCTGTGATGCCACTTTCAATGAACTATGCACTTGTACTCCTAGGTCCCTCTGTTCCACAACACACCTCAGGACCTTACCATTTACTGTATAAGTCTGTCCTTGGTTTGACTTTCCAAAATGCAACACCTCACTTATCTGTATTTGCTAATCCTCAGCCCATTTCAGCATCTGATTAAGATCCTGCTGTAACTTTTGATAACCTTCCTTGCTATCAACAATACCTCCTAATTTTGTATCATCAGCAAACTTACTAATTATGCCTTGTACGTTCACATCCAGATCATTTATGTAAATAACAAAGGTCCCAGCATTGACCCCTGCAGCACACCACTAGTCACCGGCCTCCAGTCTGAGAAACAACCTTCAACCATCACCCTGTGCTTCCTACCATCAAGCTAATTTTGAATCCAATTAGCTAGCTCTCCCTGGATCCCATGCAACCTAACCTTCATGACTAGCCTGCCATGTGGGAACATTGTCAGAGGCCTTTCTAAAGTCCATATAGACAACATCCACCGCCCTACCCTCATCTATCCTCTTGGTTACCTCTTCAAAAAACACTCTCAAAGATTTGTCAGACATGACTTCACGTGTACAAATCCATGCTGACTATCCCTAATCAGACCTTGACTATCCAAATGTTGGTTGATCCTGCCCCTCAGTATCCTCTCTAATAACTTGCCTACAACTGATGTCAGGCTCACTGGCCTGTTGCTATCTTTCTTAAACAATGGAACAACAGTAGCCACCCTCCAGTCTTCCTGAACTTTACCAGTGGCTAAAGATGAAGCAAAAATCTCTGTAATTTCTTTGCTAGTCTCCGACGCTTGTTTAAAACTGAAAGGTGAAAGAATTTCTTCTCTCAAACGTTAGTGAACGTTTAAAATTCTGTATCTGAGTCTTGTGGAGGCTGAATTGCTAAAAGTATCGAAATATAAGATGTATTTTTTTTTAAATATTAAGGAGTTGAGTGCTATGCTGAGTTTAAGGCAGATCAGCCAAAATCTTGTTGAATGGAGGGGCAGGCTTGAGGGACTGAATGGCCTGCTCCTGTTTCTTGTTTTGCATTATCTTCAGCTGGGAACACCACTATTTGCAAGTTCCCCTTCGTGGTATGTCATTCTGACTTGAAACTACATTACTATGAGGTTGCAGACTTGCCTGCCAAACTGGTGTGTTTGATTGCAGACGTTTTGTCCTGCTAGGTAACATTGTCAGTGCGCCTCCAGTGAAGCGTTGGTGTTTTGTCCTGCTTGTAATTTATATGCCTCACTTTGCTGGGGTTGGGTGGCATTACCTTCAGTTCTGTTTTTCAGTGGTTTGTATATAGGGTCCAGTTCGATGTGTTTGTTGATGGAATGTCTCTGTTTGGCTTGTGCTATTATGGATGTGTTGTCCCTGTTGAATTCGTGTCCTTCTTTGTCCGTGTGTATTGAGACCAGTGAGAATTGGTCGTGTCTCTTGGTGGCTAGCTGGTGTTCATATATCCTTATTGTCAGATTTCTTCCAGTTTGGTCTATGTAATGTTTCTTCCGGTCCTTGCATCGTATTTTTTATATTACATTGGTTTTATTCGTTGTGGGTATAAGACCCTTTCCGTTCGTCAGTACCTGTCGCAGGGTGGTTGTTGGTTTGTGGGCTACCCTGATACCTCGGGGCCTGAGTGGTCTTGTGATCATCTCTGATATATCTCTGATGTACGGTAGGGTGACTAGTGTGTCTGGCCATGTTGTGTCGTCTTGTTGTGGTCTGTTGCGGAGGTAACGGCAGATTGCGCTTTTTGGGTATCCATTCCTTTTAAAAACTCAGTATAAGTGCTCCTATTCTGCTTTGCACAATTCCGGGTGTCTGCAGTGTGTTGTGGGTCATTTGAATAATGTTCTGATACAGCTACGTTTATGGGTGTTGGGGTGGCTGCTGGAATAATTAAGTATCTGGTCCGTATATGGGTCTTTCTGTGTACGCTAGTCTGGAGTTCCCCGTTGTTCTTACGTTCTACCATTATGTCTAGGAAGGGGAGTTGGTTATTGTTCTCTTCTTCTTTTGAGAATTTTATTCTGGTGAAGGTATTGTTTGTGTGTCGGTGGGTTTCCTCTAGTCTTGTGCTTTTGATAATCACGAAGGTGTCACCTACACAGTGGAACCAGAGTTTGGGTTGTATAGTGGAGAGCGCTGTCTATTGTAACCTTTTGCATCACTGCTTCTGCTATCAGTCTTGATATTAGGGATCCCATTGGTGGTCCATTGATTTGTTTGAAGGTGAAGTGGGTTGTGAGGCACAGATCCAGCAGTTTCAGGGGGCTGTCCTTGTGGATGCTATTGGTGTCCTGGGGTGCCTGCCTTCCTGATTCGTCCAGCAGTACGGCAGTTGTCTCTTTGGCTAGGTCAATGTTTTTGGATGTAAATAGCTGTTAGGACGAAGGATACCATCATCTCATCCTCTTCTATCCCGGTGTCCTTGATGATGTTGAGGAATTCTTGGGGTGAGTGGATGGAGTGGATAGTGTTGTCAACTAAGTATTTCAATTTTTGTTGTAGTTCTTTGGCAAGTCTATATGTTGGTGTGCGTGGTAGTGAGACAGTGCGTCTGAGGGGAACCCCTGTCTTGTGTACCTTAGGGAGTCCATAGAAGCAGGGTATGTTGGATATAACAAGCAGGACAAAACACCAACGCTTTACTGGAGGCGCTCTGACGATGTTACCAAGCAGGGTGACGAAATGTCTGCGAGCAAGGCTAC